AGTTTCACTGGGAAAGATCACTCCCCTCCCCTCCACACACACACACACGCAAATAGTAAATACATTAAAGGTAAAGGTTTCCCTTGCTCAAAAGCCACTCTAGGGGGCAGTGCTCATCTCTGTTTCCAAGCCGAAGAGTCAGAGCTGTCTGAAGATTTCTCCGTGGTCATGTGGCCGGCATGACTAAACACCGGGGTGCACAGAACGCTGTTACCCTCCCACCAAAGCTGTACCTATTTATCTACTTGCAGTTTCTTGCTTTCGAACTGCTAGGTTGGCATGAGCTGGGGCCAGAGACGGGTACTCACTCCATCACGCGGCACTCGGGTCTTGAACTGCCAAACTACAGACTTTCCAGTCTACAGCTGGAAGTCTTAACCTCTGAGCCACTGCAGCCCCTAGTAAATACATTACACTCATACAAAGAGTGATGCCCATTTTGAAACTTCTATTGCTTTTAAATATAACATTTTATTGCGTAGATTGTTTTATACAGAACAGCATTATTTTCATCATTTTGAATTTGGAAGTAACATACAACTGAATAAGAGGAGGAATAGAAGTACCCAAACAAAAACGTGTAATTCTCTGTTCATGTGGCATAAACCAGTCTTGTACACAACTTGTAGCAGCAGTTTTATAAAGTTCCCTTTAGAAAAAAAATATATTTATAACATAAATTCTACACACTAATTGTCGTTTCCTTGCATGGGCTGAAAAAAATTTAGGATTAAACTTCCTTCTTGAGCAGAGAAAAGGAGGGACACCCCCCTCCCTTCCCAGTCCTGGTAACAACTGTACTGTCAACGTAGATAGGCTACCGAAGGGAGCTTACAAATGGACACTTTGGCTCCTCAAAAGCAACATGACATTGTACGTGGACTGAAAGAAATGGAGGCAAGGATTTATTACACCAAGGAGGTAAGGGTTCCTGATGTCCATTCCTTCTGATACTAAGTACCTTGAATGGAAATGTTAGGGTTGCCAACTGTCTGTCCCTGTCCCCCCCCCCCCCCCCCCCCCCCCCCTCTACACCACCATTCCATGAGAAACCCGACACAGGGGACAGCAACAAACACACACACAGGCTCATCACTGGACAGGAGACATTCCAGTGCATATTACGGGGTAACGGAAGAACTGAGGGTCAGGGTTTTAAAGGGGGGGGGATTCTGAACCATTCAGAAGCTGCAACTGAACCATCAAGAGAGCTATTCTCCAGAACAGCTAATTTCAACATAGCTGCAACCCATCGGCTCAGCTTGTTTCTAGAGTTTCCTTTCCTTTTGATGCTTTCACAGTCAGGTGCTTAATGTAGTGATTGAAAATCCAAGAAGGGGGGGGGGAGAGAAACGCTTGTTTGATTTGTCTTTTTAAAGCCCTGAGGGGGGTGGGGGGGATGAAATAAAAATGGAGAGAGAGAGAGAGAGAGAGAGAGAGAAATTATCCGAACATGCAAGACTAAGCCTACCTAAGATTCACCCATAGGTTACACACATTACAAGTTTCACAGTTTAATACAGGGAGTTGTGAATGCGAGGAGGGGGGGGCGTGGGCGACAAGGGCAGGGTGGATCGAAAACAAAGGGTTTTTCTTCCTCCGTCAAATGCAAACTAAGAAAAACATCAATAAAATGTGGCAAGATTTTTTTATAATCTACTAGGATATAGATAAAGGCTAAATAAAGCTTTAAAATCAATA